TCGAAAAATAAAATTTGATATTAAAAATAGATTTGAAAAAAAATTTTAGGGTTAAATTATTAATTTATAGATATTATTAATTTATAGACGATTATTAATTTATCGAATATTAATTTATAGAGGTTTTACTGTATTTGTATCATACGAGAAATCCATTCGTGTACTTTTGGCAGTTTCCGCTTGTTGAAATTCAGTGACATCAAACTGAGTATACATATCTCGTTCATCTTCATCTGAGTAAAATTTGTTTCTCCCATTAAATATTTATCATCTTAGTCAATCAGACTTTCTTAAAAAAAAAAAAAAAAAAAAAAAAAAAAAAATATCAATCAATCAGAGTCTGCCACGTAGGCGTCTCTTAACCCACCAATGGTATCTTCTCCAATATACTCCAACATAGGTATCTTAATATTTATTATATTTTTTGATTAAAATTTAAATACTATTAATACTAAGATACCCCTTAAATCCTGCTGATAATGTTGGTCTAAGAGAATTTGTTTCCCAATATGTTTAACCGGTGGATCTTGACACGACTCAAATGCCTATAGCATATATGAGTGGACTGTTTTTCTATTAGAGATATGATCTTGCACCTGAAAATTTAAAGATGTGCTCGATGTTTTATCCCCTCTGCATGCCAAGTTTGAGTTTCTCATATGAGCGAATTATAAAACTCTTTGGTTTTCAGATGTTTTTTTCTTAAAAAATAATAATATAGTACAATGTCTTTGATGTTACAAAAGAATTTAATTAGATAGTAACAGAATAGGAAAGGGTTGATGTTATTATTGGATTGCCCGTGGACATCCTTGATAAATATTTTTGCGGGTGTTTCGAAAAAAGGTTTTTCACGCTTCTTAAGACTAATATATATCGCAAGGGTTAAACCTAATTGTCTTTATCTTTAATTTAAGGGTTCTTCCTCGAGTTTAAATTTTCTGTATTGTAGTATTTTTTTTATATGTTTCCAAGGATTTTTATCGTTCGCAAGTTTTGTTTCTCTCGTTTGGGCTTTATATTCTGAAAATATCTTTATTTTTCTGCCGATTTTATCTATTTATATTATATTTTAATTTTATTAATATTGTGTAATGACCCAAAAAAAATATAGTAGCATAATATTTTTTGCAAATAATTTTAATTTTTGATCCCTAATTGGGTATTCATTTAAATTAAGTTAATAATATTTGTTGACCGTTGAGTATTGCATAGAGCTAGAGACAGAGACACCCTCCAAAGCAGCTGAAATCTTCATAAACCCTAGTCCGAGTCGCCAAAGTGGTCATCGGTTCTTCTCCGGCGATTTGATTTACCGTCTACTTCGTACCGATTCTCATTGCTGCTTTCTTTCGATTCGGTGAATTACTGAGAAGGGTCTATAACTCTGTCTCTAAGAAGCTGTTGATATTAGCACAGAACGAAACAGGAAAGAAATGTTATTGAAGTTTTCGTTTGTGTCTGTGATTGCTCTCTCTATTCGTATGCTCAGATGATTTATCTGGTCTGTGATTCACTCATTTGGTTTGGGACTACTGAGATCGTTTTGCGCACAACCTGTTCGACGTAATGCGTAGAAGAGATTCTGCAATTGGCCATTTTGGTATTTCTCTATAAACGTTTTATTGTTCTCTTTATCGTAGAAAGGCGTCATTTTTCGTGATGGGTACCAAAGCGATGACGTTCAAGTGGTCAAAGAATATCACGCCTTCACAGGTTATCAAACTGATGCGAGCTGAAAAAGACGTGGAGAAGTCAATAGCAGTTTTTGATTCTGCCACAGCGGAATACGCCAATGGGTTCTCTCATGATCAGAGCTCTTTTGGTTACATGGTGTCGAGATTGGTGTCTTCTAATAAGTTTAAAGCAGCTGAAGATCTTGTAGCTAGAATGAAGTCTGAGAGTTGTGTTGTTAGCGAAGATATCTTGCTTTCGATATGCAGAGGGTATGGTCGGGTTCATAGGCCGTTTGATTCTTTGAGGGTTTTTCACAAAATGAAGGATTTTGAGTGTGATCCTAGCCAGAAGGCTTACATCACTGTTCTTGCTATTCTCGTGGAAGAGAATCAGTTAAATTTGGCCTTTAAGTTTTACAAGAATATGAGAGAGATTGGTTTGCCTCCTACCGTGGCATCTCTCAATGTTTTGATCAAAGCTCTCTGCAGAAATGACGGGACAATGGATGCTGCTCTTAAGATTTTTCTTGAAATGCCTAAACGAGGGTGTGCTCCGGATTCTTACACATGTGGAACCTTGATTAGTGGTTTGTGTCGGTTTGGAAGGATAGATGAGGCGAAGAAGTTATTTAAGGAGATGGTTGAAAAAGACTGTGCACCAACTGTTGTTACATATACTTCTCTGATTCACGGTTTGTGTGGATCAAAAAATGTTGATGAAGCAATGAGATATATGGAAGAGATGAAAGGTAAAGGCATTGAGCCAAATGTTTTCACTTACAGTTCTTTAATGGATGGTCTTTGCAAAGATGGTCGTCCTCTGCAAGCCATGGAATTATTTGAGATGATGATAGCTAGAGGCTGCAGGCCAAACATGGTAACATATACCTCTCTGATCACTGGTCTCTGTAAGGAGCAGAAGATTCAAGAAGCCGTTGAACTTCTCGATAGAATGAATCTTCAGGGTTTGAAACCTGATGCTGGATTATATGGGAAAGTAATCAGTGGGTTCTGTGCTGTCAGTAAGTTTCCTGAAGCTGCCAACTTCCTCGACGAGATGATTCTTGGAGGCATAACGCCAAATCGGTTAACTTGGAACATCCATGTTAAGACTAGTAATGAAGTAGTCCGAGGTCTTTGTAAAAGTTATCCAAGTCGCGCATTTACTCTATATCTAAGCATGAGGAGTAGAGGCATCTCCGTTGAAGTTGAAACACTAGACTCTTTGGTGAAATGTTTGTGCAAAAGGGGTGAATTTCAGAAAGCTGTTCAATTAGTAGACGAGATAGTGACTGATGGGTGCATTCCAAATAAAGGAACATGGAAGCTACTAATAGGTCATACATTGGATAAAACGATTGTAGGAGAAGCTTCGGAGTCTCTTCTCAGAGATTTGGGTATCTAAGTGAAAGGAAGATTGGATGAAGGCAGCTGAAACAAACGTGTCTCATGGAACAACTTACACAAACATTGAGATATGATATTCAAGAGATCATCTCAGAAGACTGGTAAAGAATAACATACACAGAATTTCAGAGATTCCAAAGGGGTCTTAAGGATTTTACATTTTGAATTAGAACATCATTTAGCAGAGAGGGGAAATCCAATACCATGGCGTGTAGTAGGAAATGTAGCGAACAGCATGCTGCAGAAGACTCCTACGGCTACGGGCAAAGCTGTGAGAAGTTCCGCTGCTTCAGCTGATGGTTCGGGAAAGAAACACTTTACCGCATTCTGATCAAACAAAACCACGGCTCCAAACACCAGAAACGACATAATGGCATGTAAAAAATCTATAAACCGTAGTTTGTAGCTCTTTGAACGTTCTTGAGGAAGAGTTGCTGAGCCATCAATTATCCAGAAACCATTGATTGTTGCAAATCCATAGCAGACATTTCCGTTCAAGTCCTTGTAAGAATCTGTGAAGTTAAGTATGAAACAAGAAAATCCGCAGATGGAAACTAGAGATGCAGTCATGATCCTGCTAGCTAAACTGCAGTTTCCAGCGTTTGTAAAAATCGGGGATAGAATCTGGTACGCAAGAACTGTCCCTGTAGGTAAAAGATTAGCTAGATGAGCTGTAGTCTGAAAAGTCTGACCTATTGCCTTTTGTATCCAAGTGTTCCTTTCTATGTCAGGAAAGTCCCTATTAAGAACTTGGACTGGATCTTCATCTTCCAGAAGTGGAACAGTCTCTTCGTTGATCATGCTGTGAGCGCCATTGAACCCAGCTTCTTCATCAACCTTAATCTCCATAACACTCAAGATTCAGAATCTCTTTTTTCAGGTGCTTTGTTGTTTCTCTCTGTTTTGAGCAAAATGCTTGTGTTTTAATATAACTTTGGCTGCTTACTTTGTTATGCATTGCAAGCAAGTCTACCAAACTTAAGTCTTTGTTTGTGTGAAGGATAAGCTTTGACCTTGTCTATGCAAGAATTATAGTTGTCGTGCTTCTCCCTGATTGAATCTTTTTTAAAAAACGTTTGGTAAATGTGAATTTCCCCATGAACATTTTTGTTTGCATATCTGTCTGTCGTAGACAATTTTTATAGATTTTTTAACAGAAAGAATGTGATCTTTGTGGGATTCTTTTTAATTAAGAATGATGTTTATGTCAACCCTATAGAAGTTTTAGGTAAAGCCTTTGGATAATTTGAAGAAATTTATGACGTGGAGGCCAAGCAAGGTTATAAACTATTGTTGGGTGTCATACGATGAGACTTGCACGTTACATTTTTTCCATTATGATATTTCAAAATGCTATTAACTGAACGAAATATGAATATCGTTGACACAAACATACTCTATTAACGAAGTGACATGGAGAAGGATTGGGGATTATTTCCCAAAGTACATGTGTTTTCTGGAACTTTTCGATATTCTAACTAAAAGCCCATTTAGAGAATTCTTGACAAAAGCCCAACTTACAAAACATGAATCAACTGATTACTGATGTATTAAACAAAACTACAGTTTTGAATTATATGAATTTTGATAGTTTTTTTTTTTCTTTTTTGGTCAACAATTACTATTAGATTAAGTCATATGAGCCTAGGACAGACACTCACTATATGGTTTTTCTGATCTTACCAAAAAAAAAAACTAAAAAGAAACTTTTCTTTAAAATAATTTTAAATATTACATAACTTTACACTATATAAGCATCACATAAATTCACAGATTTCTCTTTTTATATATTAAAACCAATTCTAAATTTTTTAAAAATCACAATTTCACATTTTTTTATAAAATATGTTTTGGTAAATTAGTTATAAACACCTTGACAGTAAATATGAATATCTAGAAAAATCCATTTTTTCTACAGAAAACAAAAAATAAATTAACTAGGACATACTGGATCAATCATTTCTCTTTTGAAAAATAATTTATAAATATTATAATTTATGAATATCTAGGTCCCATATAAATAATTTATTGTTCAACAATTTAAAGCTATATATTGGCAAAAAAGTGATAAATATTCTAAATGAAAATTATATACAGTGCATCTGTCTTAGTTTTGCAAACACTATTTTTTTTTTTTTTTTGTCATCTTCAAACTAAAAGATCTTTTGCAAACACTATTTAATAAGTATTTTGTTTTTTGGTTTCGAAAAGAGAGAATCTATGGACATATATGTAATGAATGAAATGAGAACAATATTATAATACAAGACCAATGATTGTCGTTGGTGAGCATGGGCTTTAGATAATAAAACAACTATATAGGTTTGGTGTATCTTCTTCTCTCATGTGTACATATCTTTAAGTAAAGTAATTTCGGAATTTAAGGAAATTTGATGGTGTAACGAACGTACCAACATTATACTAGTGGGGATCATAAGTTACTAAAACAAAATTTGCAGCATTTTAGGGTGTATTTTATATATGACAAAACTATATTATATTCATGATAGTTAGAATTAGAAAAAATAGTTTAATTATAGATTTTTGATCTTTCCAAAATTTCAGCTCAAAAATATTACAAACAATTTTCATTTTCAAATGTAATTTAAGATTTAAGAACGTAAATTTTGTAAACGATAAAACTTACAAATGATCAATAACTATAAATATAAGTTTATATAAATGGGCATTAGTTATAACATTAGGTGCGAGTTTCACCTGCCAAAGTTAGGATAGGTCCATCTCGAATACTTCCTTCTTATAAAATTTTAGTATACTCTATTGCGATCATGTTTGTTTCAATGATATGTACATCTACGATCATGACTTGAACACTAGTTTTATAGTTAGATCAAATACAAGTGAGTTAATTAGTTTCATCTTTAAATGAGTAGCTATTTCTTCAATGCTCATGTGATATTATACGTTTATACTTCAAAAATTTTGCTATTTTTCGAGTATGGATCACTGAAATATAGATAAATTTGTACCATGAAAAACAATCAAAATTCTTCCAGATATTAGTGTTTTCCGAGAACTCTTCAATGATCATCAAATTATATGCAATAATGTCTTATTTTTGTATGTTCTTTTTACAAACATCTTTATTTTTATATATGATAATTGATTTTTACGAAAAATTAACGTATCTTCGTAACATTTTATAATTTAATGAAAATTAGCTAAAACTGAAATATTATAAGAATCTAACAAATTTGAAGATATTTCTTTCCATATAAGTATATCATAATTTCATATGTATTTATGAAAATATAATTGATTTTTTTCCTAACATAATAGAGTCCAGGATATATTTATTTGACCATCTAGACGAAATATTTTTCTTTCCTTTTGTCTTTTTTGACTTTTATCTTATTTTTTATATTTTCTTCTTCTTCGTATATAAAACACACACAAACCCCATAATCATACATACCATTGATGAGTCTTCTTCTTCTTTTTTTTTTTTTTTTTTCATTTCTTGAAATCCAAAAATGGACAAATCTGAAAAAATAGCATACATTTCAGTTTTGTCTCTTCTCTCTTTTGCTCTTCTTCTTCTCATCATCTTCCTCTTCTCACTATGCAGAAAAAAACCAAACCGGTCCGACGACGAGTCTCTTCTCCCCGAAACCAAACCGGCAGGTCTTTCTTATCCCTTAACCGAATTAGATTCAGCAACCGACGGATTCAACCCGCGACGAATCATCGGTTCTGGTCGGTTAGGAACGGTTTACGCTGCGATTCTTCCGGGTTATAAAAACCTCGTCGCAGTTAAACGAATACATCCCGGTTTGGTTTTAAGTAAACCGGGTTTCGGTTTCTCCACGGTTTTGAAAACGCTTTCTTCTTCGCACCATCAAAACGTCGTCTCGATTCTAGGGTTCTCAGAAGCTCCCGGAGAAAGAATCGTCGTTAGTGAATTCGTCGGAGAAGGTAAAAGCTTGAGCGATCATTTAAACGGAGATGGATCAGCGGTTGAGCTTGGTTGGAAAACGCGTTTTAAAATCGCGGCGGGAGCGGCGAGAGGTTTGGAGTATTTGCACGAAATCGCAAACCCTAGAATCGTCCACGGTCGATTCACGTCGTCGAATATACTGATCGATGTGAAATCAACGGCTAAGATTTGCGATTACGGATTTGGGTTTTTGATTCCGGTTGAAAAATCTGGGATTTTGGGGTATGTTGAAGAAGGGTATTGCAAAGAGAGTGACGTGTATGGATACGGCGTCGTTTTAATGGAGATTCTGAGTGGGAGAAGAAGTGAGAATGGGTTGCTTGTGAAATGGGCAACACCGTTGATTAAAGAACAGAGATTTGGTGAGCTATTAGATCCGAGGATCGTTGTTCAAAGTGAGGTTAAGGGTTTGGTAATAAGACTGGCCAAAGTCGCTTTGGCTTGTGTCGGGAATTCACGGAGGAGTCGGCCGTCGATTTCTGAAGTGGCGGCGATTTTGAATAGTTTGGAGAGAGAAGGAGGTTGATTTTGATAATTCGATAAGTTTTGGGGTTTTAGAGATAAATTTGGAAATTAGAGGAGTATAATTGTTATTAGTTGAATCATTAACGTAAATGATGTTTTTTAATTGCCGTGTACATAATAATGTTAAAAGTGTTTTAGAATTCGGTTTCTTATGAAATAATCAATTAATGTCTTTGATGAAGCTGTTGGGTAGATTTTTGAACAATTCAGAAATGTTTTGGGTTTTTTTAGAGAAACATGAAAAGTTAAAGGGGTATTGTAGAAAATGCTAGATTTTATATGATTCTTTTTTCCCGACGTATAAACTCGGTTTCATATGATGTTGTATTTATAATTAAGTATTGATATTAAATAATTCTATTATGCTATGTCCGAAACAATCAGAGATTACGAGGAGTTATATATAATTAAATATAGTTGAGTGTGTACGAAAGAATTATTTTAGAACTGAGTTTGACGAGACTTGGAAGATTAGATTTTCGTCAAAATTGGACGGTGGAACCTAATCTTTGCCACCTTGTGGAACAAGTCATATTATTTTCTTTTTTGGTGAAAAATGCAAGTTTGGTGAATTTAATTTAATTTTTGTTGTTGGTTTGATACAATCTATATAGCTTAATTCGTGTAAGCTGGCATTAGTGTTAAATGGTTGATTAAATGTAACATTTTGTTATGAGCTTTTAACTTAACTTTTCATTATGGCTGACCTTTACTTTTCTTTTTTTTTGGTAACATTTTCTGAATTTTAATAGCCTTTTGTAAACTGTAACTTTTTTTTGGAAATTAACGTAGACTTTGGTTCTTGTTAGACTTATGTTAAAACAAAAAGTGTGTTACTTTATAGATTGGAAACGTAATTTGAAAATACCGTTAGGAGTAATGTATTAATAAAATAAGTGGTAATTGTTAGATGTGGACGTAGAAGTTTGGCCAACCCCAGACTTTGTAAGGACGTTAAATTTCAGATAAAATGGTAGATCATTTGGTTAAAGGGACTTTAAAGATATTGTTATCCATTTGTATCTTATATATAGATAAAGTCAGGTAATTAGGGTTGGTCATATTTGTATTACTGACTAATTACGCGTAAGCTTGAATAAATTTGAATAATCTCGAGTACAAAGACCCTTGCCGCGACAAGAATAAAACACGAATTCTCAAACTAGATTTGCATGATTCAATGTAAAACAATCTGGAAAGCAAAGGATATGCTCGGCTCTCATTTTGGACATCAAAACTACAGTTAGGTGTAGACTTGATCCACTCTCTAGAGCTCAAAGGCTTCTCAAAATCCCCTTTTGTACATTTGGTTTGAGTTGTTCCAAAGTTTAGTCTTGTTTCTCTTGCTTTGTGTTGTTGTTGGTTGGTTTATAAAATGGTTTGAGTTGTTCCAAGCTTTGTAATTGTGTAACCTTCTACGAAAGGTTTCTATGGCTAATTACTAGTTGTATTAAGGTGTCTTACAATCTACATTCGCCCTTCTTCTTTTGCAACTCATCCGGGAAAGACAACATAACGCAATTGCTTCATCTTGTTTCCAGACCTTCTTGGCTTGGTTGAGTAGATGGACCAACAATTTGGTTTAGTTACCGTCGTATGGTTTCATGTTTTTAATTTTTTTTTGCCATAAAACCATATATGTATAGATGTTTCAATAATTTGGATTGTAATGTAAACTATCTTCATTATCGATCAATGAATATTTACTATTTAGCAAAAGAAAAATCGTCTAACCTTCCAGTTAATGCAATCCTATCTTTACATGTTGATATAAGATTATTTCAACCGGTGTCACATCTCATCATGATACAAGTCAAATATGGAAGAGCTATCACCAAGTTAAATACTATTAAGAATCATTCTTTTAAAACCCGATTAGTCAAATACTGTTGAATCAGAATTGAAGAGTAAAATTCCAAAAGAAACGGTCGAGCTCAAAACTAGTAACAGGATTCCTAGAAAGAAAATAATAGAAAACATTTAAGTCTTAGTAATCAAAAAGTCCAACACCAAACCGACTCAAACCCCACAAATTAATACCAAGCACAATGATACACAATCATAAAACCTAAAACCTCAGATTTCAATACAACTAGCTAATTCGGTTTTACTTTTCCCCAGTAGTACCAGATTAACCGATTCAATCGAGAAAACATTACTCAAAGTCAAGAGTTTTTCTAAATCGAACTCTTTACTTATCTCTAAAGATCGACAACTTCGAGATTAAGAACATGTTTGTCTCTTCACTCTGTACAGAGTCTTGTCTCTAAGAAGAAGTGACTTCTCTCTGCTTCTTTCTCTCTTCTTCTTTCTTGGGAAGAACATGAGCTTCATACAAAGCTAGAATCTCTTTCTTGTTTTGATGGCCTCGGTTCAATAACAAATGTCCACAGTCATACTTGGTCAGTTCATGCTTTAGATTCTGCACAGTAAGCTTCCTGTAATCCTCTCCCTGCTCCTCTTCGCCATTGTCGTGATGGCTTTGAAAGTCCTCATCGCCTTCGTCAGTAGGACCTTGATCATCTCCTCTTGCGCTTCGAGCCCGTTTACTAGTCCTTATGATTCTGTCGCTTGTATCTCCAATGTCCATATCAACGACGTCTTCAACTCTAGTCCGCTTCCCACGTGAGGAACTCGCTGCTCTAAGTTTGTTGTCAAGTGCTGTTTCTTTCAACCTAGCTTGAGCTAGTTCTTGCTGAAGATTATCAACGCTTGCCTGTGCAGCTTGCAACTCAAGAGAAAGAGCTTCAGCTCTTCGGTTTGCAGCTATATGAGCCTTACGCTCTTCATCCAACAGCTTCTCAAGTGACTTCACATTATGAGCCCTCTGTTCATTAGTTTCCTTTAACAATGACCCGATTTCTTTCTCTCGTTCTTCGACTCTTGCTTCTAAGATTGTAACTTTGGAGACAGCCTCCATTTCAGACACACGAATTTTGCGCAATTCATCCTCCAAGTCATTCTTCTGTCTCTCTAAGTTTTCAACTTGCCTCTCAGCTCGTTCGATCTGAGCAAGTCTCTCCATCGCCAACCTCTGAGTCTCACTTTTCTCCTTTTGGGAGGTGACAGCATCAGCTCGTGCTTTATCCGCCAGTTCAGTAGCGCGTTTAGCTTCTATTTCAGCTGCTTGACATCTCTCTTTGACTTCATCGAAACGTTGAAATTCAGATTGATACTTTTGCTCCATACGCATTTTCTCCTGCTCCAACTTGTTAGCCTCCTTTTCATATTTTAAAGCCTTTGTGTTGGCACTTTCTAACTTATCAGCCATTTCCCTTAATTCTAATCTCAGCGCTGCTAACTCCACGTCAAAGCTTTCAATTTTTGATTCAGCCACCTGCAAGAAGACATAAGACAAGATGAGATTCACATTTCAGAAAGGTTCAATCGATTCAGTAAACTTATTTAGAATGCAAGGAGCCACAGGAAGAGAATAACAAGACGATGTAACATAGATATACATATACTATCATTTCGAAAAGCTCACATTCAACTCTGATCTTAAAACCGTTAGAGACTGCTCTGCCTTCTCAATTTTTTTAGCCTTCTCCTTGATTTCTTCATCCTGAAATTGATTAACAGAATATACTAATGAAAATTTGACAATTTCAAACATAACGTCATATCTTTAACAAATGGTACAAAAACTGATACCTTATCCGCTAAAGTGATACTAAATTCCTCCCTAAGAGCATCTTCCCTCAATTGTGTTTCCTTGCCTGAACGTTCTTGCACTGAAGCAGCCTTTTGAAGAGCAGATCTTGCTTCTCCCACAGCAAAATCATACTTCCTTTTCCAATCCTCAGTCTCTTCTTGAGCGGATTTGGCTTGTTCTCTCGCTGCAGCAAGCCTAGCTTCAGATGTAGTACTTCTTGTCCTAAGGACTTCCATTTCGGAACTAAGCTGATCTTGAACAGCTTTCTGCTTCAAAACAATCTGGTCATATTTTCTTTTCCATTCTTTGATTTCTTCTTTTTTAGCTTCCACGGTTTTAACCAGAGTAGAGCATCGCTCATTCAGAGAACTGTTCTCCCCCTGTAGTTTAGTTATGCGCTCTCTGTAAATATCTTCCAGCTTCTTCTTGTCATTGTTGGATTCATCATAACGTTTCTGGTATTCCAACTTGTATCTCTCGCTATCATCCAACTGCTGCTTCAGATGTTTCATTGCATCTTCAACAGAACGGAACTTCACTGCAAGTGAGTTTTTCTCTATAGCGATGCTATCTATAAGCCTTTTGGTGAGATCATATATAGGTCCTTCCAAGCTGCATGATTAAAAGCAGACCACAAAAGGCCCAAATTACATGAACGCACTTCCAAAAAAAACCTAAATAAAATGAAAATCTATGGGGCAATGTAAGTAGTAAAATACCTTTGTTGCAAGAACACAGAAAGTTTCTGCCATTTCCCCGGGCCATGGCATGATGCCTCATATTCAGCCAAACGAGCTTCTAGAACCTGAGACACAATTGATCATTACAAACAAGCAAAAGGAAATAACAAAATTTTAATCCCTATGCCAAGAAAAAGAAATCCAGAAATAACCAACCTTGACAACATTGTCCATATTTGCATTAGAAGCATGGCAGGCTGCTCTCAGCTGCTTTTCCATGCGCTGGATAGTACTTGTACATCGCAAATCTGCTTCCATAAAGGTGTTCTTCTTGTAATCCTGAATCATCAAAATATTTCATGTGGAAAATGAGAAAATGAGTTATATCAAACTATTATAAAACAGACAGATTTCGAAAACAACTGCTTATTACTTAAGAATACTGTTTTAGAATCTATCACCTCAAATTTTTTCTTCAAGTCCTTGTGGAGAAGATCCTCATATTTTTTTCTTGCTGAACCAGCCCCTACAGCATTAGAGTTAAACATGGCTAGGGCTTTTCGAACTGCTTCTTCATGTTCTTCCCTCAGTGCACCCTACATAAAGTGGAATTGACATTAAACATAAATTACAATAAAAATAAAAGAGACGCTAAAACCAAGATACTTACTTCTTCAGGAGCTTTTGTTTGGTCAAAGGCAGCCATATAGGCTTCTAAACCAGAATCATATGCTCTGCGACACTCAGTTTCTTCAACACTCTATAAGAACATAGTCAAGAAAAATTACTTTATTAATCTGGGGAAAAAAAGGCTAGAAAATGCATTAGTAAAAACATTCCAACTGATGCCCACATTAGTCTGAAGTACATAGATGTATGAATGCACCAATCAGCCATATGTTTACCCATTAAGATGTACTGTATCAGACAATGTTAAGTAAGCCTGGCCGTATAAAGCCAAATCCTTAAATTGTGTACATCATAGGAAATTATAGTTTTTGATTAAATGTATTTAATATCCACAGAGGTAACAGATATCAAACCTGCCAAGATGAGGTTATTGTTGGCACGGCACCATTATTCAATGCATCCAGATAAGACTGTGTAATACCAACAAGAATAGGGCCCGTCATCACAGTACCCCCTAGTTGCTTGGGCCTCGTCTTCTCAAAAACAAACTTAGTAAATGCATCCAGGCCAGCACCAAATTCAGGTCTCAATTTTTCCAACTGCATAAGCACACAGGATATAAACCAACCAAACATTAGCATCCAAACCATTACAACATAGTATTCTAGGTAAAGGAGAATGCATAGAACAATACTAACCGAAATTTGATCAAGTCTCTGCAGGTCCTTTTCATTGTTCAGAGGCCTTACAAGGGTAAAGCACTCTCTGTCTGGAAAAAGGGCACGAATTGAATCTCGGATCTGCAAAACAAAAAAACATAGTTTTCATTTACGAGAACTGACAATCATTGTACCAAAGGAACTTGATCACCACACCCGCTTTCTAAAGAGTGCCTGACGATCTAAATAAACATATTCAAGGAAAAGAAATAACATTACCTCGTTTTTTGCACCAATATCTCCTCCAGTACCTTGGACTGGCCTTAAAGCAATTTCTAAATAGTCGCGTGGACTAATTTTCCGATTATCTTCCACTAGATCCAAATAAAAGTCCTAAAGCAAAACATATCAATGTTAATACATATCTCTAAGCAATCATATCTACAAACACTAATAATAGAGGATTACCCTCAATAGCCAGACAAAGATGGGAGAAAATTGCCCAAGTTCAGAACGTGAGCTCGTTCCACCAGAAGCTTTTACGCGGATATGTTTTGTCATTTGAGTGACAAGGGAAAGACGATCGAGTGAAGCTTCATCGATACCTCCCATCTGACACATACAAACAAAAACAACATCAAAGTCAACTCAAGAGTGGAAAGAACTTCACAAAAGGTTTAAGTTCAGACTGAAAAAATTAACAAACCTGATTGTATACAAACATGCTTGACAAAAGAACAGCTAATGAGAATATCTGAGTGCTATAGGTACCCTGTGGAAATGAAAGTAAAGTGAATCAAAGCATGTTAATAAATTAAAAGTCTTTGAAAGAGATCAAAACTGTTGGAATCAAGTAACAGCAAGCTAGTAAAATAAAATGATACTTACAGTTTGGTCGTAAGCATCAATCCCTTCACTATCTAACAACAAAAGATTGTATTCAGATCCGTCAAGAGCTGTTCTTTTAATAGGAGAGCTCCACAACCAAAGCCCCTTGGTACACGGCTTGTGTGTTGATGCTACTTGAAACCCATTACTGCGTCCAAGAAGCTACAAAATCACAACATCACAAAAACCTATTACTTCAAACACTGTAGACAGAACCATATCAAACAAACACCATTCCCTCAATGAAACTCCATAAGCAATCTCTTAAGTTACAAAATACAAAAAAAAAAACCACATTAGTGAGTCCAAGAAGCTTCTAAAACCCAATTAACAAGAACCCTAAAATTTGCCTAAACCCTAGACCTGGAGAAACGGACACAGAGCCCAATTCAAAAACAAACACCATTTTCCACTAAAACCCAGAAGCAAACCCTAAAAAGAAGAAAGAAACAAACCTGATTCAAAATAAAGCTCTTTCCTTGACGAGCCCTACCACAAACAGAAACAACACCAATTGGTTCCTTAACGAGTTGCAAAGTAGCAACAGCTTCAGGGTCCATCCGAAACTTGCCCTTCTCATCACAATACACTAAACGAATCGGTCTCGGAGGGCCCGTCACTGCAGACGAAGATGCCGGAGACGTCGATGGGTATGATCTCGGTGACGGAGAAGCGGAATCAGACGGCGAATCCTTTCCTCCTCTACTAAAAATTCGCCTCATCTCTGCAAACTTTCCTTTGAAATTCGAATTCCGAAGATTCGTCTTCTACTTTAGTCTCGCTCAAAGTCTGAAAATTCCTAAAATTCCTAAATTTTTGAAAAAGAGACGAAGAGAGAGAGAGACCTAAGTATAAGATCCGTCGCGAGAAAAGAAAGAGAAGACAGCGATTAAAGAGATTAAATACAGTTTTGTATAATAGGCCCACTAAATAAAATTTATGGGCCTTAATGGGCCAAAATATGATTTTTTTTTACATTTTTTTGTGTGAGTAGCTTTGTTTACACGCACATTATGATCATGGTGGAGTCTGGCTTAATCAACGGTCGAAAAGAAGATCTTTTCAATGAAAATTTTGATGTTTGATGTTCATAATTGGATCAAACTCTTTCTTGATGTTCATGCAAGAAAGCTAAGCTAACAACCAAATAACCTAGCTAGCTACATGTTGGCTCTAATTGGACAAGCTTAGCCTAAACAGTGTTGTGTATTTAACACCACTTCCTAGTTCCTAGTTAAAAATTATATACTAATTTTTTTCTTTTTTCTTTAACTTTATTTTCTTTTTAAAAAACATACAAATCCGAAACTATCTTCAACCAAACACAACGTTTATTTTTAAAGTGAGAAATTTCAGTACTTAGAGAGAGTCTTATTAGACACTTATTAGTCCAAGATTAGTTGTTACTAGTAATTTGTTAAGATCATCTACAAGAGTCCTTGATAGCTTCAAGATTTCTGGTTTTTTTTTTCATTCCGAAAGATTTTTATTTATTTAAACTATAATGTAAAGTACTGATGGGTTTAAAGATGCACCATTGGAGCAAATTTCTATGAAAATCCTAACTTTCAAAGATGAGCCATCCGATCTTTTAAAATAATGGTCTCTTTTGAAAATGCTCTATCTAGGCTAAATCATATCTCTGATCCGACAGAGGCTCAAGAAATTTCGTGCTGATAAGTGAGCTATTAACGTTGGTAACACTAGTGAAAAATAATCCAAATTAACTCAAGAACAATTGTATTAGAGCTATTTTAAAAAAAAATGTCAAATATGTTTCATATTGTAAAATTAGATTAGTGTATTAAAACCGGTTTAGATACGTTTCATATGTTTCGAAACGTTTGTAATTTCCATCTGAAAATGCCTTTGAATTGATCTAACTTCTCTTTAAAGTATTTGGCTGATTTCCAAAAATTCATTTTGTCAACTTACGTGAATATGCATGCATGAGCAATATTCAGCCAATCATATAATTGAAAAAAACAAAAAAACAAAAAACGTGATGTGACCATGATGTTTTTTGTGGGACAAGTGGAAAAACCAAATTACAAATACTATATTTGTATAAAACTTAATAATAGTTGTTTTTAAAGATAGAGAAAATGTCCAAGTAGTTGCTTCCAAGAAATGAAATAAACAGCTCATCTTTTTATTTTTGTTTTCCGTTCGTAATCGTAAATGCTCTTATCGTGTGAATATAAAACACAAGACGAGACGCTCCCGGAACATGCTCCGTACGGCTTTCTCAAATCTCATGCAATTATTGATTTTGTTCTTTCCGAATCATTTTCATATATTAACTTTGGATATAATCAAATTTAGACTATACGTATGATTTGATTATATATAACTCGTTAGAAAATCCCAAGTTGGCAAATTGATTAATAATAATAATCAAATAATGTTTCTGTTTTCAATCACATCTAAAAGTCAACTGTTCAGGCAAAACTCCTCTCATCCTCTTGACAATTTGCTCGGCCTCGAACGTCCGGTGATAAAGAGGCTGAGCCACCGAGTTCGAGTCGAGATAATACAAACACATAACCATCAAAACCGAGTTAACAAACATCGGTATCGGTCCAAAAAGCCACAACAATAGATTAAGAGCCAAGTAAAGAGCCCTAAGTCCCAACGACCAAAAGTTACCACCTCTCAAGACAGATCTCTTCACCATATCCGGCGGTATATCATCGCCGGGTGTGGTGATAAGATAGTTGGCATGTAAAAAACTTCTCGTGGATTGAACAAAACAGCAGAATGCAACTAGGAAACAGATGAGTAGAGAGGTGTATTTGATGACCATTGTGATCGAACTTGTGTCTCCATACACAAAATGTCCTGTAAAAACCGTCGTATTAACCGGTGAGCTCCCTATCCACGCGCCGATAAGCGAACTCAATGTTAAAGCAATGGATGCCATAAACGTTGAAGCTGATATGCTACTCGAAAGAACAGTTAAAGCACATCCCAATTCGTCTTTTCTTGCCTGTATACACACAAATAGTAACCAAAATAAAAATGTTGGCATTACCAAACCATACATGTAATATCGTTACGAAAGATGAAAACACTGTATTAAAGAGGAAGTACTTGCCTGCATGATACGGTCGACCCAAATGGATTTATCGATGTTCATGAAACCGATGATGGTGTGATAAGGGAAATAAAGAATTCTATAGAGAAGAAAGAGATGGTAAGATAAAACTATGATTAATCCAAATGGGACAAGAACCAAATCTAAGTACTCTTTCTTGACAAAGATCTCCATCTTCTTCCTTTTCTCTACTTATGTGCTATAATGTTTGTCTCTGTTATGTGTATATAATGAATGGGTTTTTATATTTAATTTGCGTATAAGATAAAGAAAAAGAAACTGAAATAGATAGAAAAGTTGAGATTTAGAGGAATCTTGGACGTATGGAATATCCCACTTTGCTTCATTTAAACTGAGTAGACTTAATTATCTTAGTGATATATATAATTAAATATAATTTTGGAGATATAGGCAGATTATGTAACTGTCTTGAATATAAATAATAGTGGGGATTAAATATTACACGCAATAGTCATTAAATACATTGCATGAAATAGGATGTTCTTTAAAGTGGAACGTTGCGTATGCTTTGGGAGATGGGTTATACAAAAGAAGAATGAATTGACGAACAAAAAAGTTCATTTTAAACTGTTTAAAGAAAACAACCATTTGTGTAAATCGGATAAATTAAGATCCGTATGTATCATGTATGTCAGTATTACATTTACACTAGTCTTCTTGAATTGTAGTTGTAGTTGATCGATCATATTATTAAGTGATCCAATATCCATGAACAATAAGCGTTACACATTTTTATACAAAAGTAGGCTAATAAGCCAAGAGATGGGCCAACAAAATAAAGTCTATTTTCTAATTTTCTTGGCCCAAACTCTTATCTCTCGACACTTCTCTTTTGGTTACAAACTCAACACTTATGAGTAACGATAAAGACTTAAGAAGCAAAAGTGCAAAACTCTAAAAGAGTGTGATGTATATTCTGCTGCAAAGGTAAGAATTATATCATCTTCGTTGTTTTTGTAGTGTTTCTAACTATTCCACTAGAATACTTTTGTGTATGTATGCTTTTATTTTGGCTATTTTACTATTTTTGAATTAGGTAGGCAATGTAACCAACACTAGAAAGTTAGAACTCACTTTTAGTTCCTTTTGTATCCACGTGGTTGGTTGGATCTCGAATTTGCATTTGAAGCTAAATTTATATAAATTCAAGCTTACCTTTTAGGTTAGAAAGGTGTAAGTTTCTAATATTTTAAAATTTTGGCAAAGGGACCTTCTGTTTTTATTTTTTGGTTTCGTCATTACAAATTTATAATACATGGTACTTATGAGCGTCAAATGATATATTCCGGGTTAGATAGAAATAGTTTTTACAGTTTCTATAGATAAAAAATTTCAAAACTCGAAACTGCCAAAGGCCAGTAGACAAAACCTCACACCGTATTTACAACTTCTTCGATCACGAAAACGTTCAAAAACTATGATCAGAGTGTTGAGCTTGCTTGTTTAACGTGTTGAACAACATGATACCGTTTGAAAAACTACGACAGTTTCAGATTTAAGAGTGTACTACTATATATTGAGAGAATTAGTTCGGTTTGAAGTATAATTGCTATATTTTTTAGATTAGAAAAAATTAATAGCATATCAAATTATCAATGAAGCTAGGTGTGAGCGCAAGAGATTTAATATAGTTTTTTAGAGAGACAGTTGCATAAAGATTTCAATTAGGAGCACAAAGAATCAACGAACGTCCAGCTGTTTGATCAAATGTGAGAAGATATCTCTTTGCCTCATCATATATATATTAAACAACGACAATGACACAAACTAGTTTAACTAGCATAAAAAGATCGCAATACATAAGAAAAACAATTGTAATGAGTTGGAAAAAAAATTGTGAGAAGATTCAGTAGTCGTCAGTACTATTATTTAAAAACTCATTCAAACTTGTTATAAAAATAATAATTGAACTAATAAATAAATATTATTTCAACTGGAAGCAATATTTTTTGCGCACGTTATGATGACAAAAAAAAATCAGTATAACAGTAATAGAAAAATGTCAATAATATATGGCTACTCGTGAAGTTACTGTTTACAAGTGGAATTTTTTTAAAAAGGAGTTTAATGTTTCACTCGTGAGATTCTTATTACTTCACCAACCAAAATCAATCGAAACTATATATATCCTTTTGAGTAAGTAACTAAAACATGCAAAACATTTCTGTTAATAGTTTTAATGTTCCCTAATTATTATTATATTGCCTCATTTTTTCAGTTAAAATTTTATTTTAATTACGCGTTTTCAACAAAATTTTGCATTCTATTTTTTTTTGTTGAAGAAATTTCTTTAGTTAATAAACTAAAATAAGAATTATAATTTTTTTTAAAAACATTGCCAATTTCCCAACCGATATCTATCTACCAAACAGCCCAAAGAGATGCCTCCCAAATTTTTCTATTGCAAGAAATGCATCAAACGTAATAAATTACATAATCAAACCAGATGGTTCGAACACATCTCCATTTAAGGAGGTTCATCAACTAAGCTTTGAATTATTTTAAAGGCTCTCTAGCTCCACCTTCACCTACTAATCTATCTTCATTCTTTTGAGTTCGTGGTTCAACACTTACACGTATGTGCGATTTTTTACATTTATATCGATTGAATTTACATCGACTGAATTCATTTGATGAAATAGTTACTTTGGTGGTTGTTATTTTATCTATCTTTTTTTTATAAATGGTTTAATTTATGTGAAGGCAAATAAAAAGTAATATATACGTCAATTGATTTAGAAATATAGCACGTATTGTCCCAAACTAGTATCATATGCGAATTCTGATATAATATATAGTCACAAGAAAATAAATTCACTTCATATAATAGAGCGAGTTGTATGAAAAAGACAAATCATGGCGATATGCTAGAACAATTTTTTTTTTTTTTTTTTTGCCTTCACACAATAATAATTTTCTAGTAAAGTCTAAGATAAAATAGATTTCCCTATCCTCAGATTTCTGCATATTTTAGTCTAAGACAGAAAGGGTTTAAGTATAATTTTCTAAACTCTATTGGACGATTAATAAATAATTTAATAAGTTTCATTTTCAGGCAGTAATTATATAAGTGTATTACGTTGAAAGATTCGCATTATTCATGTGACCCATTATCTAACTTTGTATATATATGAGACAAAAGCGCCCACTTAAGCTACCAAACAAAGAAAAACAAAATCAGAGAGAGAGAGAAAAAAAAAGAAAGAAGAAGACAGAAGTGAGAAAGAAGAAATGACAGTAGAAGAGGTAGGAGACGACTATACAAAAGATGGAACAGTTGATCTTCAAGGCAACCCTGTTCGAAGATCCATTAGAGGTCGTTGGAAAGCTTGTTCCTTCGTCGTTGGTATTTTATTCTTTCATCACTAATTTTATATCTCCTCTTATATATTAATTGTTTTTTCATAATTTTTTATAACAATTAAAATGATTATTAATCTCTATAATCTATGATAATTTGTTGACTCTTAATTTAGAGTCTTTTTTCTAAAAAAAGATTACGATGATATAAGCTGCCATGAGTCTTGGAACCTTTTCAATGGTTACGAGAGAAAGTAAAAGTTTGTGACGTATCTTATCCTAATTATACGAATTTGAGGTCATAAATACTTTATTTTCTATATGAAGATTCTTCAAAAAAAAAAAATTAACTCGAGGCTTGATCACTAGTGATTAGATTCAATACTATGAACTCAAACCTAAGTTTCAACGGGAAATTAATAATAAAGTCATATATTTATTCTAGTATATGAATTTTCTTTCGGCATTAAATAGTATATAGGGATTTCTAGGAAAATATTCTATATATTCTACATTAAATTTGTTAATTATTCATATTTTTTTTCCAATTTTGTTTCTTAAATTAATGAAAATGTTGTGTTTTCTTCTTCTGATTAAGTGTACGAGGTGTTTGAAAGAATGGCTTATTACGGGATATCAAGCAACCTAGTGATATACATGACAACCAGATTGCACCAAGGAACGGTCAAGTCATCGAACAATGTGACTAATTGGGTTGGGACTAGTTGGCTCACTCCAATCTTGGGTGCTTATGTTGCAGACGCTCATCTTGGTCGCTACATCACTTTCGTCATCTCTTGTGCTATCTATTTCTCGGTACGTTTATTTCTCTCATTGATCTATATAACCAAGAAAAACATAGAAACGTACACCAAACAAAATAAATAATTTATCTATACGTATTGTTTATTTTAGTCAGTCGATACAAAGACACTTATGTCATTGTTTGATGACACCGCGCACGTTACGTTATATACTGTATTACGGTACATTTTTTGTAGTTGTTTTGCATGTTGAGGTTTCTAGTTAGTTTTTGGTATATTAAAACTATATTTGTACATATATGTTAAGAGTTAACATATCAAAGTCGTGAAAACATAATATAACTAAATTAGGTAAGTATGCCTAACAACATGAATCTAAAGCGTGGGAGCCTAAAAACTTGAACCAACGACATGAAAAAGTGGTTAAGAGTAGTATCTAGCTAGTGAAATTGTTGAGCTCAACGGATATAGTTTTTCGATTTTGATATTACTCAATCCAAGTTTAGATAAGTGATAAGTTTCTGAAGAATGTAAAAGCGAGTCAACGAGAGAATTGATAAGAGATAAGACAACGACCGAACTAAAGATCCACACAAAAGTCAACAATATTACACTCCACAAACATTTACACACACTAGACTAGAGAGAGTCTCTCTACGCATTAGTTGATTGAAGCGTGCAATACTTTTCTTCGAGGAAAAAAAATGTGTATATATTTTGGAATCATATATGTACTTTGACCAATACGGTTGACTTTGAAAATATATCATTATTACTCATTAGATATTTCTTGTCTCGATCGAAAATTTTAGAAAGTGTTTCTACTACACACTAGAAAAATTGTGGATCAGAACATTACATAGTAAATTGAATATTTTTGAAAGGCTTATCCACTACATATGGTATTGAGTCGGTTTAACAAGAATCGATTTTTTTTGTTTTTTGTCTTTTTACATTGCTATTTACACCTAGCTATTAAATAACATATTTTGTTTCAATTGATACACTCATAACCAAAGGGTTTGCAAGTTGTACGTATTTTATTTATATACAATTTACATTATTTTACACTTACACACTAATTACAACTTACAAGTAACTCAACTTGCATAAACGATAATTTTATTATAAATACATAAGATTCTCTGATTTTTTATAAAAAAAAATAAAAAAATACTATGATAAAATTGAGAATTCTGCTTAAACACATACTTAACAATCAATATCTTAATCATTTAGCTAACCGGCTTAGTCGTTTTATCAATCACAGGGGATGATGGTGTTAACACTATCAGTATCAATACCAGGACTTAAGCCACCAGAGTGTTCCGCAGCTAATGTGGAAGATTGCAAAAAAGCCTCAGTTTTACAATTAGCAGTCTTCTTTGGAGCATTATACACTTTAGCAATCGGTACGGGCGGTACAAAACCGAACATATCAACCATAGGAGCCGACCAGTTCGATGTGTTCGACCCAAAGGAGAAGATTCAAAAGCTATCGTTCTTTAATTGGTGGATGTTTAGTATCTTCTTTGGTACTCTCTTTGCCAACACTGTTCTTGTCTATGTTCAAGATAATGTTGGCTGGACCTTAGGTTATGGACTTCCAACATTGGGTTTGGCTATTTCCATTTCCATTTTCTTGATGGGTACTCCGTTTTATCGTCACAAACTTCCCACTGGTAGCCCTTTCACCAAGATGGCTCGAGTCATCGTGGCTTCGTTTCGCAAAGCCAATGCACCGATGGCTCATGACTCCACGAGCTTCCACGAGCTGCCTTCACTTGAATATGAGCGTAAAGGCGCCTTTCCGATTCAACCCACTCCAAGTTTACGGTAATTTGTATATTTATTTAGTTTATATCCTAACCAAACATGTAATTAAATTCATAGTATATATCATAAAGTATCTAACATGTAATGTAACTATGTTGCAGATTCTTAGACAGAGCTTCACTAAAAACAGGAACAAATCATAAATGGAATCTATGTACAACCACAGAAGTGGAAGAAACAAAACAAATGCTAAGAATGTTACCGGTCTTGTTCATAACTTTCGTCCCAAGCATGATGCTCGCTCAAATCAACACGTTGTTTGTTAAACAAGGAACCACTCTAGACCGAAAGGTCACTGGATCTTTCAGCATCCCACCAGCGAGTCTCTCCGCATTTGTCACACTCTCAATGCTTATTTCCATAGTTATATACGATCAAGTCTTCGTCAAGCTAACCCGAAAATTCACGGGTAATCCAAGAGGCATAACTTTGCTTCAACGAATGGGAATAGGTCTTATCTTTCATATCCTCATTATGATCGTCGCATCTGTTACTGAAAGGTAGAGCTAGCTTCCATCTTAAACTAAGTAAATAATTAAGGAACGAAAAATTTGATTACAAAACATATCAAATCATTTTATGTTTTGCATTAGTTTCCTTACACCTTTTATATTTGGTAACAGGCATAGACTCAAGATCGCTGCTGATCATGGTCTCATCCACCAAACAGGAGTAAAACTACCTTTAACTATCTTTGTTTTGCTTCCTCAATTCGTGCTAATGGGTATAGCTGATTCGTTTTTAGAAGTCGCAAAGCTCGAGTTTTTCTACGATCAAGCTCCCGAGAGCATGAAAAGCCTCGGGACATCGTATTCGACAACGAGTTTAGCGGTTGGGAATTTCATGAGCAGTTTCTTGTTATCAACAGTGTCCGAGATAACGAAGAAACGAGGAAGGGGTTGGATTTTGAATAATCTTAACGAGTCTAGGTTGGATCATTATTACCTCTTCTTTGCGGTACTCAATCTTGTTAACTTTGTCTTGTTCTTGGTCGTGGTTAGGTTTTATGTTTATAGAGCTGAGGTTACTGATTCTGTGGATGTCAAAGAAGAGGAAATGAAAGAACATGAATGACATATGATGAATAATACTATAGTTTTTTTCTATACCATTATTTCAATTTCAGTAACTTTCATTACATAGTCGTAAGAAAGTAATAGTTATACTAAAAGGCAATCTTGAACATACTTTGATGTTCATAAACATTAAGTTATGCATATAATTAAGAGTTAGAGACCTTTCACTAATTAATATACCTCTACCACTCGAACCAAAACACATCGACTTAACATTACAATTTACACATCTCCATATACTAAGGCGAACTTAAATATTGACATGAAGATAAAGTTAATCTGGTATTCTAATTCCTTCGATTTCACAAAATCATAAAAACTTAAATTGATTACCATCAACAAACATCTGTCGCCCAATATGAAAATAAATTAGTAAATATCTTGTTATAGCTACTGGTCATCATATTCATTCCATTTACTTTGAAAATTTGTCCAACAAATTAATATGTAGGTTTTAAAATAAATTTAATTAATTTATTAAGAAAATATTAAAGTTGGCTCTATCTCTTAGTAATTCTCACTTTGGTATTATGAGTTACTATAGAAAGAAATATTTTAATTTGATGCTGGGGCACTATATGTGCCAAGAACTCTTTTTGGTATCATATATATATGATTTATGCTGATGTGTTTTTCTAATATTAGAAATCAATCTCTTTTAGATAAAATTATTTTCTATCTTAATGCAGGAATGCTATCCTTATCTATATTTTGTTTTTAATACATATATATCTTACATTTAAAACAAATTAAAGATAATTTTTTAATTTACTACGGGGGGGGGGGGGTGGTTTGTAGTTCTTTCATCTGATCATGTTTCGGTGGTTAAAGTACTCAGTTATGAAATATTCCAAAAAATT